TTGCAGATTATATCAAGCTGCTGGAAGTCCCTCCACTTCTATTTCTTTCAAGTTCTGAATTAAATGAAGAATTGCAAGTTGGTGAGAAAAAGGGAAAACGTTTAAAGATAGAGCAAGAACCGTTATCAACAAAATAATCTCTTAGAACCAAAGATTAATAGGCATCAAGCTAGTGACGTTAAAAGAGCGCTTTGTGAGAGGCAACTCACACTTCTTTCCCTTTCATTTCTTTTTAATTTCTAGTTTTTCATTTTATTTTTCTGCATGATCTAAGTTTCTAGTTGCTTTGCAATTGCTTTTGACAATGAAACTAGTATTTTGCTGGAACTTCCACTCTGAGCCTAAAAATGAGGTTAAGCACAAGGTTAAAGGTTCTGCAAGGATTGTTATAATTGTTGGAGCATCCATTCTTCCTGCCAATAGTAGTTGCATGCTTTAGCATAACCACATAAATACTTCATCATCATTTTTATTTTTTTTTTGCTGCTTTCTAAACTTCTTCCTTTAACATTGAGCATTTAATTCCAAATCTTTCTGGGCATTAAATCAATTGCATCACTTTTACATTGCATTTGCATCTTTAGTCCAAGTAAATCTCTATCCAACCTTGCATTTCTGATTTTAGAATTCTTAAGTTGGGGAATTAGAGAAATGTTTATTGTTGTTCTTGAGTGCATGATGTCTAAAATTAATTGTTAAAACTGGGCAATTGGTTAAGAATGTGAGAGATTATAAGGGACATAATTTCTGAATTTGATTGAGATTGATGAACTCATGGAATTTTCATACATGAATGCCTTCAATTCTTGATAAACTGAATTCCTAGTGGTTCACTTCTTGATTCATGTGCTGAATTGTGTCAGATTTCCTGCTAAACTAAAAAAAAAATAAAAAAAATGTATATATTCATAATTATTTGTGTATTACGTTCCTTTTTCCATTTTATGGTGAATAAGTCAAATTCTTCTTTCATTTCTCTGTTTCTGAATTCTGAGTAAACATTTTGTTTGTGTACTTCTTCATGTGTTGTCACACTTCATTTTGAAAAATAAAGAGATTCTTACCATTTGTGCATATGGATTTGTAAGATGAATTATGAACATGATTTATTGATATTATCACCTTTATTCCAATGGTAAGAATTTGAACTTTGCAGAATATATTCTTTCATGTGTGATTGATCTTAATTTTGCTGCACCCTCTAGAACTTGCTTTGTTTCTTGATTGAATACGCGATTTTATAGTTCTCACACATATGATGAAGGCCTTCTTTGATTGTGCCTAGTTAGCCTAAATGAACCTCCCTTTGTGCTTGAATGTCCTAGTTCACCCCTTTGAGCTTAATATCCCTTTCTTGATTTTCCCTCATTACAAGCCTTGATGAAAAACCATTTTTACCATCCAAAGAAAAAGAGGCATATTGAGTTTAATTAAGGATGAGTTTAAAACTAAGTTTGGGGTGACATTCAGATTTTATTTGCTTGAGGACAAGCAATGTTCTAAGTTTGGGGTGGAGAATAGCAAAGCTATCTAAGTTTTGGTTTCAAAAGGAAAGAAATAAATAACAAAGTTGTGATTTCAAAAGAAAAATATGCATCGAAATGCTGCAGAAAAAGAAAATTTATGAAAAGAAAATAATGAATGAAAGCAAGAAAAGAAAAAAATTGGAATTCTGATGCATGAATGAATCTGTTTGCTGCATAATTGAGGGAACTATTGAAAAATAATGCAGTTCCATACTAGTGTTAAGTTCATTCACTCAAAATGTCTCTTTTCTTTTGGAATTGCATGTATTGTTTCCCATTTTGTTCAATACCTACCTTAACATTAGCCCTATTATAACCTGAAAAAAGTCCTCTTGATGTGTAATTGACTGTATTAAGCAGAGGAGATTGAGAATATGGGCATGCATATGGTAGGGGAAGGTAAAATTGATGATCTTAAGAGTAAATACTCACCTTAAACACTTATGAGTGAGAGGGAAACACTTCCTTGTGACTGGTAGTGATATCTTTCATTGATGTTTCACATGTAGCTTTGCTGTTCATTAGCTCAAATTTGTAAGATTCTGCATAAAAAGATTTGTTGAGTGTGACTTTCATTATGACTGAATGCATGAATGATTTGTTGAAAGGATAATTGGAAGGAATGATGTGGAATGAAGAATTTTGTACAAATTGAAAATAAAGTCCATGTAAAAAGATTTTCATTGTTGTTTTGATGATGGATTGAATCCCCCTTTGTATGTTCTGGTTTGCTTGAAGACAAGCAAAAATCTAAGTTTGGGGTGGAAAAAACTTGTCATAAAGCTAAGAGAACACTAACTAGAAAGTATACTAGGTAGTTGTAGCAAGTAATAAAATTTGAAATTCAGTTTGAGTCCCAAGTATCGCCCTCAGGGATTAGTTCTATCAATTACCACTTCACAAGTCAATAACTAGTTGAGCTAAACGAGTATTGGAGATGTTTTGAGCATTTGCAAACAAAAACAATAAACTATAGAATCAGAAAATCACAACAAAACAAAGTGACGAATTTTATTAATGAAATGATGTGTGAATGGATTTAGGATTGATTTCACCTCTTCATCAATTGCAAAATTGAATTAGATCTGAACTCTAAGTTCCTTAATTGATTGATGATCAATTTCGCTATATTAATCAAAGTTCAATTCCTTGACTCATTGATCTTAATATTCAATTAACTACCCTAATTCCTTAGGTGTAAATCAATCAAACATTGCATTAGGCATTAGAAATTATGAGATCACAAGATCACGAATTCTTATCCCTAAGATATCCATAACCTTGACATTCAATTCATATCTAAGAAATTAACTCAACTTCCGTTGATGAAAATACTCTAGGTTCAATTCAATTGAATAGCAAATTCAAGAATTGCATTAAGGAAAGAATTAAACATTCAATACAATCAAGATCATAAAATCCAGATCCACAATCAATTTACAATATCAAAATCGGATCCATCAATCCATAAGAAAAAGAAATCAGAACATGTTCATAGAAGAAAAAAAGACAAAAAGAGTAGAAGAAGATGAGCTACATAATTTCTTCATAAATCCAATTCCCAGCCTGATTCCTCAAGGTCCAGAGCTTGGAAGACGCCCCAATTTTCCTCTCTAACTCTCCTAATTTCTTATTTATAGAATTTCTGCCTTTCGCGCATTATCACTATTTTTCATAAAACAAACCATGCAGAGGCCGCGTGTTCACTTTCATGAACGAAAGTGATCATGCGCATCTCGCTATGCTGGGGAGCTCTCTGGAACACTCACTTTCACCAACGATAGTGATCATGCACACTGGAACGCTCACTCTTGCCAGTGATAGTGATCACGCACACTGGAACACTCACTCTTGCCAGTGATAGTGATAACGCACACTGGAACGCTCACTCTTGCCAGTGATAGTGATAACGCACACTGGAACGCTCACTGGAATGCTCACTCTTGCCAACGATAGTGATCACGCACACTTTGCTATGTTAAGGAACTCTCTGGAATGTTCACTTTCGCCAGTGAAAGTGACAACGCACATCTGTATTCTTCTGAGAAACTCTTTGGAGTGCTCACTTTCACCAACAATAGTGATCATGCCCAGATTCCCCTTCATTTTCAAGCTCTGGAACAATCACTTTCACCAGCGAAAGTGATAACACCCAACACATCTTCATCAATTCTTGTTCCTTGTCTCCAGATTTGCTACTTTTCTTCTAACTTTCTCTCTTAATCCTCTAACCTTATGATCTCAACTTAGAGTTTCCTGCAAAATAGGTTCTAATTAGTACATTTTACATAGAAAATTCACAAAATCTAAACAATTAAACTATTTAGAAATGAATTGAACATTCTATTATTTTTATGAGTTTTCCAGCTTTTTCCATCATGTTTTTCATATCAAATGTATTAAAAACTAAGGTAAAATACTAGTAAAATTTGCATTTATCACCACCCCAAACTTAGATTTTTGCTTATCCTCAAGGAAACCAAAACACACCAAGAGGGATTCAATGCATCATCAAAACAAAAATGAAAATCTTTACACAAACTTTATTTTCAGTTTGTACAGAGTTCTTCATTCCACATCATTCCTTCCAATTATCCTTTCAACAAATCATTCATGTATTCAGTCACAATGAAAGTCACACTCGACAAATCTATCTGAACTCTTCCAGCTCATGTAGTTGCAGCACTCTCTTTCCTCCAACAATGGTTAAATCAAAATTTAACCATTTAGTAGCCCAATATGCTTTATGTTCAAGTTTCATAGGGAGATGACAAGCCTTTCCAAAAACTAATTGATATGGTGACATACCAATTGGTGTTTTGAATGTTGTCCTATATGCCTAAACTGTGTCATCCAGGTTCCTTGACCAATCTTTTCTTGAATTATTCACTATTTTCTCCAAGATTTTCTTGATTTCTTTGTTCGAGATTTCAACTTTCCCACTAGTTTGAGGATGATAAGGAGTTGCTATTCTGTGTTTTACTCCATACTTTTCTAGAACAGATTCAAGGTATTTGTTGCAGAAGTGAGATCCTCCATCACTTATCAGAATTCTTGATACTCCAAATCTAGCAAAAATATTCTTTTTTATAAATGAAATCACCACTTTAGCTTCATTTGTTATGGTTGGAATGGCTGTAAATATAATTTTTATAATTATTGTAAAAATTAATTATTGTTACTTATATAAACTTTATAGTTAAAAAATATAAAAAATTATATTATTAATATATTTAAATTAAAATATTTGTTCTTATAATAAACTTTATTCAATTTTTTCATACTTAACCCAAGAAGTTTTGACTTGTACTTCTGGTTCTCAGTAGAAACTAATTTGGCTTTTTTAACACCACCAAAAAGAAAAATGGAAAATCAATTAAGCTTTAAAAGTTATTATTACACATGGATGCTCCATGATTGAGACACAAGAAACAACAAGGATAAGGTTTTAACAACTTTAGAATTACACAAGAATTACTCTGTAAAATCTGAAAATTTAATCCCGTGTTCTCCGAGCTTCTTTTCCGTAATAGTATTGAGATGTTCAACCATCTCAACTGTGAGATAATTTTTCCAGTCTCCAACTTGACCACGACGGAAGTATGTATTGCTTTCCATACCCAAAGGTATCTTTCCAACCTTATTCGCCTCCAAGTTCCTCATGTTATCAAAACTGCACAGCTTCAAAATGTCATCAACCATGCCTTGGGCCTCTTCTTCTTCAGAAAATGGGCACTCAATAAACTTAGCTAGTTCTTTAAGATAAAACGTTGGCCTCATTTTCATGTCCTCAAAACTCAAAAACAACACTTTTTCTGGCCTCTCCAAACTTGCCTTCCAATAGGCCAATACGTGTTCGCAAAATGGACCATAGGGACTCACTCCTCTGCAAAACAACTGAAAAGCCTCTTCAAGTGAAATGGGTTCTTTCGTTTTTTGTACCATTTTGTTTGCAAAATGCCAGTATGAAATGAAAGTGTCTTTAGGATTTCTACTGACATAAATTATCTTACAAGTGGACTCCTTCACAGATGTTGGCAATGAGATATAAGGCAAATGTGTAGACAAGAGCCGTGGAGAGGATAAGGCCTGAAGTTTAGGAAGAAAGTGTTGGTCTGAGTAAAGGTCAAGCTCCAAGAAAGGGACAAGAGCATGAGGGTTGTTAGTGACCAAAGGATGAGTTTGGATATTAGGGTATCTCTCTCGGTTAAGTAAGGCAAATGCCAAAGACTTGAGCCAAGTGGTGCCTGCTTTTGGAATGGAAACAAGGAGAATATCAGTGTCATTGGCTTGGAAGTGCTTTTGACACGTTAAAGTTGCTTCAAGAATAATAGGATTGTACCACACGCCTTGGTACTGGTAGTAGTGTGGTACTGGCCATCCCTTTTCTATTGGTAAGGTTGATAAGAATTCCTGAAGTTCTTTGGGCAACTCATCGTGAAGGAATTTGGGCTTATGTTCTTTGGACAAGTTATCACCTTCCATGAATTTGACCAAAACAAAGTGCTTACTGAAGCAAATAAACCAGATAGATAGATCAAGGAAGAACTCTCGATACAATACCAATTGCACTCATACATCAATATTTATAGACGCGTTCCCACCCCAACAGTCCCTTTTGCCCATCGATATTTCCCATTCGAAGTTTAAATTTAATAATTGCAGAATCATTTTTTATTTTTATAAATAATTATATATAATGACATTATTTGAAGCATTAATTTTAAAAAAAAATAATTTTAATTTAATTATATAATCACAATAATATAATTTATTATGTATTTTATAAATAAACAATGATATTTGTAAAAAATTTAAAAAATTATATAAGGTGATAAAAAAATTGAGTAACAACTTTTATCAATAAAATTTTAAAAAAATTAAAGAAAAAGTGAACAATAAGTAAAATTATTTTAATGAAATATAGTATAATTCATATACCATTCTCACAAAATTTAATCTCAAAAAGTATACATGACAAATTATAAAAGATAATACCTTCACTCAGTGTTTCATAGAGGACTTTCACTTATAATATAAAAATTAATTAATAAATTTTATTTACACTATTAACCAAGTTTATAATTTTTTAAAAATAATAAAATATCACCAAATTTAATACCTCAATAAAATTAAATTTTCAATAAAAAAAAGTATTACTTATGATATTTTAATATGTGTTCTTGTAAATTAGGTTTGTGGTAATAAAAGAACCGTTGCCTGCAATCCAATTTTTGATAGGTTTTACTGTTACCCACTAAATTAGTTACCTACCCTTAAATAAACTGTTGCCAGGTAATAAAAGAATCTAATAATTTTATAACACTGTTACTGTAATAAAATATATGTTATTATGATTTATCTAACTCTATATTATAAACAAAAAATATATTATTTAAAATGTGAATAATTAATAAAATATATTAAAATCTACAGAAAATAATGTATAAATTTTATTCTTTCTTGTTATGATAATTTTATGTTTTAATTATCCATTTGTTAATTTTATTTTAAATTTTAAAGACTAAATTATTTATTTACTTTTTTTATTATATTATATAATTTTTTTATATATTTTTATGAATACATATTATATAAATGTAAAATAAAATATTAGTGTGTTATTTGAATTACTAAATAAGTCTAAGGATATATCTTACTTAATTATATAAATAATTCAAAAATTATATCATATGCGTAATTTCAAAGGAAAATTACATTAGTTAGAAAAAATATGATAAATTGATTTTTAATCAGGAGTTAAATAATATTTTTAGTAACAATATATAAAACTCAAAAGATTGTATTTTGATATAATTTTTATTTTTAAATATTTATTTAAAAGGAAATGAATTAATTATTTTTATCAGATCAAATAATGGATATTTATTAAATCAATATTATAATAAATAGTAATATATGTTTTTAATTTTTATTTACATCCTCGTCGCTATTTATAATAAAGATATAAAAAAAATAATTCCTGTTGATATTAATAATAATATTAAGACTTCAAAATTTAAAATTATGCAGAGGCACTGCCACCCCATGTGGAATCTGACAGCAACGATTCCATTGTTGGCAGTATACACGCAAGGTGTGAATGTGATCATTGGGATAAGTGGCAAAAATTGGAAAAAACAATTTGTTTTTAAATGACTTTTTTAAGAAATTATTTTTATTTTGACAGAAAAAAAACACAATTAAACACAGAAAGAAAAAAAATGACAAAATACGTATAACCTTAGTTGTTTTTTTTTAAAATAAATAAATAAATAAAAATTCTTTTAAAAATTAAAAATAAACATACTTTTAATTTTGTGTGCACTACTATTAGTTTTTTTACAGACAAAAGAAATCGATGAAGAGTATGTCCATTGGAGAAATAGCTTCCATCACCTTTGCTTCTGAGACTATGAATCGTTTTTATGATGGATGATATTGAATGCAGTTGGATACAGCACATGGGGTCCGTACAACTGTCCTGGTGAGTCGATGTTGGTTCTCCTGTGTCTTTGTCTTTGGACCCTCCCACTAAATTACCAGTTTTTTCCTTTTATGCTGACGCGTAAATAAAAATATCAAAATTTGGAGCCTAAGCTTTTGTGAAAATTATTCAATATAATATATAATAAAAGTCAAAGTATTTAATTGAATTTTTAAATTTATTTATTAGAATTTATTTTTATTCAATTATATTTTTAAAAATATTTTTTCTTTTATTTATTTATTCTTACTCTAATATTTTAATCGCTTTTAAAGTTTTGTTAATTACTTATTAATAGATTAAAAATCAGTTTTGATCAATTAATTAATATCATGTTCACCATTTTTTGTATAATTTAATCGATTAAATGAAAAAAATTAAAATATTCAATAAATTAAATACCAGTAGTTTACTTTAAAATTTTAATTTGTTAATTAAGCAATTAATTATTAGAATATTTTATAGATTAGAAATCATGTTGAAAATTTTTATATTTTAAATTAATATTTTACTTCTAAATTATTTGTTTTATAGACACAAAAAGCTATACCAAGTGCATTAATAGTTTTAACAAGTAAAAAATTATCATTCTTACAAAAATTAAGTAAATTAGTCAATAATATCTCTTTAAATATTAGATTAAAAATAGAAACAAAATAAAATTATACATAATACTATTAAAGTTGAACTAAACTATCTTTAACAAGTGAAAAGATTAATATGAAAGGATTAAATGCATAACAGTGTTAATGATGTAGAACAATATAAAACAAATACAATAAACAACACAACATAACAACAATCACACGAACACATGTAATTGAAATTTTCTAAATTTCACTTTATAAAAAATAAGTGTATATTTTAGTGTTCACACAAGTATTGCAGGATCATGATAACATTAACTACAATGAAACTCTAATCTTCATGTTTATGTAAATGGGAAAAACAATGAAACTTACTTCAAATTTGAATATAAAACTAACGTGTTCATTGTGAATCATACTCTCAATTCATCCAAAGGAAGCATTAAGTGCAAAAGTGAAATTATACAATTTCTCATGCAAAACTAAAATAGAAAGAACAAATCCAATTCAATTTACTTCCATCTTTGCATGATTCAAATTACTAGTATAATAAAATTTGATGTCTCAGCATTCTACCCTCATTCTTGGTTAGAAAAACCTTATGTTTCAGCTAAATTCAACTAAGAACGGGTATAGCAAGAAATGTTAACAATCACTACATGCATCATGTAGTCCCCCGAAATTTTTAATAATAATAGTATTTTTGAGTTATTAAAATAAATAGTGAATTTTCATGTGAATGGGTATTTGATGAGTATGATAATGTAAATGTGTATGTGTATATATGTGAATACGTGTAGATGAATATGTACATATGTATGTATAATTGTGGATGTTGATTGTGTATCGAGAGACTGAATGTGGTTGGATTGATTAAATATATAGGTTAAGTGTGAACTGCAGGAGTGTTTTCACTGTAGCAAGAGGATTCTTGCTGTAACGAGAAGGCCCTGGGAGAAGAACATAAAACTGTTGTGCTCTCATTGTAGCGAGATGACTCTCGCTGTAGCGATAAGGCAACAGAAAGAAGTGCAATTATGGATGCAGCCTCGCTGTAGCAAGATTCTGCAAAAATCAGAGTGCAGTTTCCTATGAGATTTTCACTATAGCGAGAAGGCGTGTCGCTGTAGCGAGATTGTCGCGATCAGAAGGGTATTTGAAAGGTTTAGAGTTTGAAAAATTTATTTCCGCACTTTTTCCTTGGAGATATTTCTTTGTTTTCTCGATTTCCAACCCATTCTTACCGTTTAAATTGCCTCCAAAGCCATTTAGGAGTTAGATTGAAGATGGAGATTGTGTTTAGAGTATTTGAAGGTGAGTTTTATGGGCTATGGTTTCGTTCCTTTGTCCCATTCTTCATTTTCTCAGTTTCTCATGGAATTCATCCACGTATTTAGGGCAAAATACTGTGTGGAGATGTTTTTTACCATTGATTTTGTATTGGATCTTCATTCTGAGGTAAGGGGGACTCTACCCTATCTCATTGTGCTTGTATTCATTTATTTGACTATGTATTGCAATGCGGTTAGGATGAAATGTAGGGATATGTGTGTGTTGATGTACATTTCCTGTTGAACATGATTTGTGAGGAAATATGCTGGAAATTGTGTGGTCGGCTATAATGTGGTTGGTGTTCAATAGTGTATATGTTGGGAATGGTTTGAATGTACTCGGAATCGTGTTAGAAGTGTGGTGTGTTTGGAATGTAATGCGATTAAATGTAGGCATAGGTGCCGTGTTTGAAAGTGAATATTTGAATTGTTAGAAATGTGTGTGAATGATATGTTAGATGCAATTGTGATTGTGTTTAAATATGAGGAAAGCTATGAGTGGTTCAGCGATAGACTGAGGTGTGGAAGATAGGGGTGGTAGAAATACCTTGGAAAAGAGAGGGTGGTGGTGACACTAATAATAAGCGTGGGTGTCACAATCCCTTTTTATAAAGAATCAATGACATCACATATTACTGCTCTTAATATAAATATTTGTATTAACGAGATCATATTGGTATATTACAAATAATATAATTCTCCAAAGAAATTTGACTATAACATTCAATTCCACGGATTAACAAAGTCCCAAAGGTATTTTAATATAAAACAATGATGATATAAGTGTATATACATAGTTACAAAATTGCTCTAAATGAAACTCAAAATACAAGGTTCTTGCATAATAATTACATCCGTTTGTAGCCAAGTGGCATAGGTTCATACTAAAACCTAGATTACTAAAACTAAGCTACATATTCCAAAATCTTTGGTCTAAACTACTCTTCAGCCAGATTCCCCAGTAGGTAAATTAGACACTCCACCTGTCATTCCTGCTCATGTAACATAGTATGATCATTGCAATACACACACAACAATACAAACAAATGCAAGGGGTGAGATTTTATAAATAAAAATCAT